ACAACTCTAGGATAACCAGCATGAAAAAGTTTGATAGTAAATATTGCGCCACCCAGCATATGAACCAATTAAGCATATGGATGCAACTATCATAAGATTTTACCAAAATACCATAGTGATATTGAAGACCAATTAATTATAATGTCAGGGAATTGTTATAGTTTATAATCTAGAAAATGAAAAGAAAGAAGTACAGAGAATATAAGTAAGAGAATCAACTAAGTAAAGCCATTTTTTGGATAACATCTTCAAGTCATCATATGAAGAAGATAACATCTAGTACGATGCGGATTTTCAGATCGAAAATACATACACGGGCATGAAAACTCTAGAATAACATGACACAATAAAGAAAAATACCTAAACCGGACTGCCGAACAGAATTTGGACGTCTATGTTGGGCCAGTGCAAGCGCAACAGCATCCTCAACCTAAACAGAACAGTGATACAGTGCAAAAATTTGAAGTCAAAAACAGGATAAAGTCAAACAGAATTTCATATATATATTTTGAAGAGAAATAAAAATATTAATATGTCAAACATTAGGAACAGACCTTTAGAGAAGCTAATTCCCTCAAACCCATCTCCACTGAAAGCATACTCTCAATATTTCCTTCGCCAGTGAGGTCGCTTAAATCCCGAACTATCTTACTTCTATCTGGGTCATCACTACCTGGTAGACGTCATACAAGACAAAAGCTTAATTGAGTGCATGAAATGAAAAATAAAATCAAATAAAGAGATAACAACACCGTCGTCTTTGATATACCTCTATCCCAAGAATCTTCCTTTGCCTTTTGTCCAGCAGAAATGACGACTTCAAACGGAAGAGGAGCTAAAGATGACCAATGCTCATGCTTCGACAAGGCTATATCTGCACATATGCCTAAAAAGCAGCAAAGCAAACAGCATATAAAGTAAAATGTTTGTAAATGAATTATAAATCTAAGTCTCCATTCATTCAAATCCAAATTCACATATACATAGATCTAAACATACTTCATAGGACACCTTCTTGATGTTATAACTAAAACGGGATACACAACGTTGAAATTCAAATACCCAATACAGAGAAAATCATCAAGCTGCGATATCAGATTTAAGCATGCAATCTATATCCTTATTCAAGAAGGGGAAGATGGTAATTGAATACCATACTGCACTGCTAAACCCCAATAGCGAGCAAGCCAACATCTCTTCAGAACAACTTCCTCCTAAAAGACAGATACAGAAATAAACTTAAGAGTGTGAACGGGTAAAAGTAAATCCCACTTGAGTATCAGAAGACAAACCATCTCTTTTTGCGTTAAAATCATTCTTTGTGTCTTTGAGCGAAGAGACTTTGCTTCAGATTCTGCTTCTCGGAGCTGCTCGACTGCTGCTGCAGCACCGTCCTTTAAGTTCTGATTTTTACCAAAAAAAAAAACTCATGAAGCTATCACATAAATCAGAAACACTTGACTGAGATCTAAAGAGTTTACCTCAATTTCTGAACGAAGAGTTGCAATTTCCTCATCTTTCCCATCCTTGTTTTGTTTTGCAGCGATGAGAGCAGCCTGTAACAATCAATTTTTTTCAGTCTAAAAACAGCCACAGATAATCTCATTTTAACATAACAAGTTTCAACCAGTACTTTTATCATTAGTCAATGTATATGCCACATCTAATTTACCCTCCCAACTTACCTCTCTTGAACGCAAAGCTGCTTCCTTCCTGCAGATGGATCATTTGAATAATCAAAACCAGGATATCAAATAAAGATAGAAAAGATGCAAAATAACTCAACTTTACCTGCTCAACAATTTAGCTTCCATGCTTACACCTTCTCCAAGGTTAGCAACCTGTGAACGAAGAATTGAACATAAAAATAGCTGAATAAGAAGCAGCACTACCTTCTTGGTGACAAAATTGTGCTAATATTGTCAGAACTCTAAAGGAATGTATACGGCATGATAAAAAGAGACACTAAGTTCTGAACCTCAAAGATTCCTGATTTCAAACTATGCAGCTAAATAAATATGAATAAAAGGATTCACCTGTTTCTCAAGCTCCTTAGCTCTGGCCTCTGCTTGTGCATGTCTTTCTTCAGCAAGGCGAAGCTGTCATACATGCTTATGCATAAATATTACACACAAAATATAACAGTCATTTACCTCTGTGTGTGTGTGTGTGTCCAAGTATGTATAATAAATGCATGAGCATGTCTGTATTAGAATATAGAAGAGCACACCTTCTCAAGTGCAATCTCGTGATCTTCTTGTAGCATATCAAGCTGCATTTACAGTACGTGTTAGTATCAAGACTAGTGATTCAAAAATTACACTTAAGATTTCACAAATACCAATCTTAAATTCAAGTAATAAAGCATATCCCTAAATACATTTAAAGGTTATCTGCATCTGTTATGAAGACAAAAATTGATGGCTGCAAATGACATACTCGATCACGAAGCTCAGAAGATTCACGCTCATCTCCTGGGGCTATTGAGTTGAACTGTCCAATATCTGGCATAAACCTGCCCCAAGAACATATTATATTTATAGCTACACATGCGTCATAAGCTTCGATAACATCAACTAGCTACAAGAATGCAAGCAAAAAACAGCTATCTTATGAACTTGCCTTTTATCTCTGTTTCTATTAGAAGGAGGATCAATTGGAGGTATGGCTACTGGAGTTCTAACCGAGGATTTGCTGGGTGGCACTACCGTCGATGAACGAACTGACATAGAGGGTCTTCCAGCTGATGTGGAACGAACTGAGGTTGTATGCTCTACAAAGTTCCGACCTAACTAATTAAAATACCAGAATCCGATCAGCCATAAGATCACCACGTTCGGAATTCACAAGTTTCACAATAGACTGTTAACTAAAAGTAACATTAATTAAGAATAAACCAATAGTAATAACTCTAGCACAAAATATATATATAAAGGTTCAATCAAATAGACTCCAATTTAACTGAAGCTCATAAAATTATGAGTCAACTTCAGCTGGTTCACTCTAATACATTCATAAACGAACTCAAAACACAACGAAGTAGCCACAATTCAGATCTCAAAACAACAGCACCGAAACTGAACAAAAAAAATATCAAGAAAGGTCCGTTTCCATGCAATTCAATCCCATATCATTAAAACAAGACTACATCAGATTCAAAAACAGTATAATAATTAGCATAGATTCTGAATTACCGCAGGAGACGGAGATCTATTAGGCCGAGTCACCGAAATCGCAGGAAGAGCCTTTGTACCGTTATTAAAACCATTGCCGGACAGAGAAGAAGGTGCATGAGGCGGCTGAGCAAACCGAAACCCGAGATCGTCGTCGTCGTCGTCGTCATCGCCGGTGGCCCGAGAAGCCATGACCTGAGCCAGCCGCTGTGCCGCGGCTTTGGCGGCGACGTTTTGATTTCGCTTGACAGTGGAGATTCCGCTGACGGACGGATTAAGACGAGAGTGAGGGTGCGCCGGAGACATCGCCGGAGAAGACCCCGGGCTGCTCGAACCTGCGCTCCACTGCCGCGAGTACCCCGGACTCGCAGGTCTCCTCCGATCCATCAATATGCGTGTATGCGGGTATATAAATATGTGTGTTGCTCTGAAATGGAGCTGAGATTCTTCTCGACAAAATCGAAGTGAAATCGGAGGGTGGACTAAGAAGGACTGGAGGGGGAAGAAGAAGAGGGGGCTTTTCCCCTTCAGTTTTGGGTCAAAGACAGGTTGTGCGGGGGTTGAAATGGGATGTTGAGGCCAAACGGTGCCGTTCCAGGTTGGATTGACGTTGATGCACGTTTCGCGGGAGAGGATGAGTGAAAGCAGGTCGTGACGTGTCAAATGAGTAGGTGTGGGCCCGAAACTTTGGTGGCGGCAGGCAGATGGCCAAATGTTTCGGCAAATTATGTCGACGTGTTCATTTCGTTAGTGATTTCGGACACGTAGACTATTGGCTGCGGAGCGAAGACAGACATAGGGAAGAGGTCAATGAACAAAACGTCGACGTTTTCGTGTGGCAGAGAGCTTTGGACAATGACTTCTTAGAAAATAATTTTTGTAATGTTTTCTTACTCTTACTCTTACTATATCCTTGTGGCACTCTCCCGCCAACAGTTGGTGCATGAGATAGAGAATTGAATATCGAAGTACCAATATGCCTCAAGGAAAATTATGATGTATGGATGATTTGTTGTAGATTGTTAATAGGGTAAAATTTGATACGTTAGATTTGTCGATAATCAATTCACAATTGTACACATGCGGGTGATTTAATTATAGCGTATAAGAAGAATCGCAACTATAAAAATTTAATATTTATGCAAAACACTCAAGGTTAGAGCAGAAATTATAAACGTGGCCTTAATAAGCTGAAAATGGTCTAAACCATGGGGATGAAAAGTGTAATTTAATCAACTGTACACATTATCTTTTACATTCACAATCTTTGATTGTTTGAAAATTTATAATTACGCAAATTTTGTAGGAAATACATTATCTACTATGTTCGTGTAAGTAATTGTCATTTGTTAATACATTACGTCTGTTGTTACGAGTCACGTAATATATCCTAATCTAACGCACACAAAAGAAGGGCAAATAACATGCGCCTCTAGACTAGAGCATATATCATCACACAGAAAGCAAGGCAACTTGACGAAAATCATTGATCAAATCAAAGTCATACAAAATCCAGAACCTGCAAAACCAACCAACCAACCAACCTCACCAAATCAAATAAAGAAAAGGTCACAATTTAATTAGGCGCATAACCAATCAAACTTAATTATAATTAAGCAGCTGCTTTCTTCTCAACCAGTTTCTCTATCAAATCAGCTGCTTGAACCACATTGCAAAAAATTTACAAACTAAGGGTATGCGATTGTTAAAATTGAAAATACGGGGACTAACATGTCTTAAGGGTGTAAGTACATGGTACTAAATTGTAATTAACCCTAAATTATATATAATAATTAACTTAATATTATTATTTAAAAACCACATGCATAAATAGAATTTGATAATCAATTGGAGTAGAAAATAATGGCAGCAGGGCATACTGTGTCAAGAGAGTCGGCACCAAGGGATGCAAACTTGGAGTCAGGGGTGACCTCAGACTCTGGAGGCAAAGCCAGTTGCTTCCTCACAATCTCCACAACCTTTTGCACTGTCTCAGGTTTGCCCTGTCCATTTTTCAATTTTCATTATGTGGTTTTCAATATATAACTTGTTACGGGTGAAATATGTCGCCGTGTATCAGATGCACACAATAATTTTTCGAGCTGAACAACTTACAGCGCAACAGATTTGGAGACGAGAAGTTCTCAGAGAAGAGAAGCCAGTCTTAGCCCATCCATTAGGAACCAATTGTAAACTTGAACTTGTTCTTGTTACCTACATTATTAGTTCATAAGCATCAAAAGCAGATATTGGCTCATATTTATACTTTCAGTTTAAACACATTTACTTATTGGTCTGAAAAACCTTCAATTGGGCTACATTCAATCCATAGATAAGGTAAACCCAAAATTTAGAAGATAACCCAAATGGAAAAAAGAAGAAGAAAAAGACAGAGAAATTAGGTTAAATGCTAGTACCAGGCCAGAAGTCTTGGTTGGCTGGTTTTGAAGGGGCTGGAACCTGCAAAGAGAAGTAGCTGAAGCAGAAGCCATTGAAGCTGCCCAAGAAACCAAACCACAAAAACTTTGTTACTCAAAACAAACAGAGAGATATGGTGAGGGTGAGGTAAAGTTGTGCCCTATCTTCTACTTACGTGGCAGAGATTGGAAATCATGGGTGGGCCCTTGGAATTCAGGTACAAGTTGCCAGATGGGACAAATTAACTACTAGACCATCCATCTCCCCACATTACTACACAAACGACATGTCGTCTGGAATGTGTTTCATAATTGGCAAAAGGTCAATTTTTTGTCCATGTAGTTTGTCTGTTTTCTCAATTAGTTTTAATGTTGTTAATTTTGTCACTATAGTTTTAAATCTCTCACATTTCAAAGGCACGTTATAAAATGATGTCAAATTTCTTTCAATTTCGTCCAAAATACCCTTTAGTGTCATCTATGTCATATAATAAAACAGAAATTTAAACATACTTTTAAACTATAGGAGTTAAATTGTCATAATAAAAACCACATAAACAAAAGTGAAAAATCAGACAAACCATAAGAGCCTAATATGATTTTTTGCCTTCATATTTATTAGAGATCCAGTGCGGGCCCTGTGGGTGGGCAAGGAGGGCGATGGCCATGGGCCTCACATTTGTAGGCCCCAAATTATATTTATTATATATGTACTAAGTTGAAGAATATGATTTTAAAGGAGAATAATTTCAATAATTTGGCATTTGGAGGCCCCAAATCTAATTACAAGTGTTTATGAAGAGTCCAAATGAAAATTATTTAATATACAAACATCCATTGCATGTATTTAAGTATTTAATTGCCAAAAAGTATTTAATTGCTAAAAGTAGCAATCAATGAAAGAAAGTCAATAGGGTCTAGAAATTCTTTTATTTATCCAAAAATTCTTGTTAGTAGATTATTAGCGAGGAAATATAAAAGAGTGCAAATTATTTGTATCATCATTCTTGTTTGTTTTCAGATTGGGGCAAAGATTATATGACCAATACTGGAGCCGTGTTTATTTATCCAAATTGTATTTAATTGCATTTTTTTTTTCCATGTAAGTTTATTATATCTATATATATAAAGCAAAAAGCAGAGAATGGTGAAACATTCAAAATACCAAAAAATGCCCTTGGTTAATGCAAACATTAAGAATTGAAATTATTAATTAAGTGAGGATAATATGGTAAATTTACACTTTTTCATATTAAAAAAATTTAAAATTAAAAGAAAAATCAAATAATGGATCCTCTTTTTATGGAACACAACTACCCATTATCTTTTTTAATTCTAAAATAAATTTAATTTTTTCTTTTAAAAAGCCTCTCACAGGCGCGTAAGCGCATGCAAAGAGGCTAGTTTAGGAGAATGAAAAAGAAATGAGCCTCATTTTCATTTCTAGCCTGGGGCCACCCAAAAGTCATGGGCGGCCTGATTAGAGTATGGGGATGAAGATTCTTCTTTTCATTTTTTTGGTCTGAGGGGATGAAGATTCTTTGAACGTGTGGAACCGGTGGAAGAAACGAAATCGGTTACGTCCCTGCTTACCTTGAGCATAAACAAAAGTGAAAAATCAGACAAACCATAAGAGCCGAATATGATTTTTTGCCTTCATATTTATTAGAGTCAGTGCCGGCCCTGTGGGTGGGCAAGGAGGGCGATGGCCATGGGCCTCACATTTGTAGGCCCCAAATTATATTTATTATATATGTACCAAGTTGAAGAATATGATTTTAAAGGAGAATAATTTCAATAATTTGGCATTTGGAGGCCCCAAATCTAATTACAAGTGTTTATGAAGAGTCCAAATGAAAATTATTTAATATACGAACATCAATTGCATGTATTTAAGTATTTAATTGCCAAAAAGTATTTAATTGCTAAAAGTAGCAATCAATGAAAGAAAGTCAATAGGGTCTAGAAAGCTTTAGTAATATACCCAAAATAGGGGCTGATATTATAAAAAAACCCCACATGGAATGCACTTTAGAAACATACCCAAAAATCATTTACTACATAAGAAATGAGTATTGAAGTTCTTGTAAATTACATGACTGCCACTGATTAACTTAAAACAAGCCCAACACAAGAAACTCAAAAAAAACCCAAAACAAGCCCAGCAAACCCGAAGTACATTGTTAATACCATATCATAGACGTACATTGTTAATACCATGTCATAGAAGTACATTGTTAATACCATGTCATATAAGTACATTGTTAATACCATGTCATAAAAGTACAGTGTTGAAGTTCCTATAAATTACATGACTGCCATTGATTAACTTAAAATAAGCCCAACGCAAAAAACTCAAAACAAGCCCAGCAAGCTCGAAGTACATTGTTAATACCATATTATAGAAGTACATTGTTAATACCATATCATAGAAGTA